GTTTAAGATCCAAACGAAATCAGCAAGAATTAATGCCTTCAAGTATTCCTTCTTTGTTAGAATTATTAAGGAATGGAATAATTTGCCAAACCACTTGTTTGGACACGACATCAACGACATTAATGCAAACAGGTTGAAATCAAGCCTTAAAAAGTGGATGAATATTCATTAATTATATGCCACAGTACCTAATATTATAGATATCATAGATGTTTTAGATTTTAAATTTTGGACTGTTAATTATTTACACAATAGATATTTCAAATCTTTAAATTTTAGATTGTCAATTATTTACTTAGCAGATATTTCAAATTTTTAAATTTTAAATTGTTAATTATTTACGTAATAGATATTTTAAAATTTTAAATTTTAGATTGTAATTTTAGTTAGGGGACCTAAATAGGGATAACCTCATGGTCCTCCTTTTCAAATACTCTTTGTACTCTGCATTTGAATAAAGTATTATTTATTTATTTATTATTAATCTTAAAAGATGATAAGAATCAGCTCTATTCTACATACTTCAAAGTGTGAAGCTCTACACCATCAGGAATTGGATCTTTATAAATATCAATTGATTCCAGACCTTCTGTATCCGCTGGACACTGAAAAGTAATCAGTGAAGTTTTATCAGCTGTGATATTTATTGAACACTTGGTGTAGCCTTATCAGCATTACTATGGTTTTTGAATTACCAGGATTTATAATACCATAGCCAACTAGGCACTTTTCTTCAAGAATTACCTCTGTAGAGTTCTGAAAGCAATAATTCCTCAAAAGTAGCAACCCTCCAAACAAAGTGATAACATGCGGTTGTTAGCAAACCCGAAAGTGGTGACACTCTAAAGGTAGTAACCTCAAACCTAATTTGATTTCACAGATACAACAAGCCAAACCAATCTGATATTTGTTTTAGATTGCCTTCATTCCAAAGGCAATCTATTACTCTGTTTGGTGTAACAAATATTTCTTTTCAAAAAGATTTGTCTCTTTTTTCTCTCTGTATATTGAGCACATGTTTTACACCCACTGTCAATGTTACGTGCATAGGCGACATCTTTTGGCATGCCATCTTTCATAAGATTGTCGATGGTAATTTAAAAATTATGATCGACCAGCCCACATGTACCACATGTTTTAGAGCAGCAATTCCCTGAAAGCTGCAACCCCCAAAGGTAGAGATAGGAAGAGTCTGAAAGTATTGAGGATTGTTTATTTTGACCAGAACTTTAATAAATGATCCTGTGAGCAAGGCCCACTTATTTGCTGCTCTCTTTACTCATTGACTCATTCTCTCAGCTTTAATAGCAACTTGCTGGGGTCTCAAAAGTTACCGTAAACTCTGAGGAGATAGCTTGAAATTGCCCAGTGATTCATATGTGACATCTCCTAGGCATGAGTGACTTATGCTTGTGTAAGCTTCAACTACACATTTGCAAATGGCAGAATTTCAGACAACATTATTACCAGTAGTCTCAAACTAATTCCAGTTGACTAGTAACATTACATGTAATATAAATTACCTTTAAATTGCTTGGACTTTTCCATATGGAGGAATATTACAAAGACAAGAAAAGAAAGATGATTTGTGAGTCAAAATAATACTGTCATGTGAATTAGAAATTTATTTTTAAAAAAGTGTTCCTATGTATATACACGGTACTTGTCTCTCTCACAGGGGTATATTCATCTACTGCAATAAACCGAAACACAGATGCAAACCTAGCCCCCCAAAAAAGGCTCACTAGTGATAGAATGAATAGACAATTAGTTGCCATAGAAATTGCTATGGTATGAGTTGGTGGTATTTGAAGCATAATTAATTTATAATTGGAGTAACTTGCTCCAATAAAGATGTAATGCTTTTGAATTTTTCATCACAAGTCACTTCCTTCATGAGCCACAAGTTGATGAAATAAAATAAACAAATAAAATAAATCAATAAGTGTCAGTGGATTTACCAAAAAAAAAAACAACACTTCAACAGACCTCTGGGATTAATAGTAATACTCTCCTACAAATACCCTGGAGAGGGAGGTGGTATCCACTTGTCAGACTTATTCATTTGGTGAACATATTAATGCAGTAGGAAATCCTAGTCGAAAAGAACATAGAAATTCCTTGACTGTAACTTACAAGGTTAATTAGGTTAATGTAAATGTCTCTGTAGAAATAAACTTGATTGGAGACATTACAATCATGTGTTATACTCACCTACACACTTCACTCAAGTCTGTAACTATTTCCATTGCTACATTCATTTCTTTCGCCATGTCTTTAAGTTCAAGTTCTACCTTTTTCCTCTCATACTGTGTCGGCTCAAGAAACTCCAAAAACTGTTCTTTAAACTGTTTTACTGAAATCAACGAAGAACACTCTCCTCTGCTCGCCATTTTGAACTGCATGAGATCTTACATTTGTTTTGATTGGACAAGCGTCGTTGAACAGAAAATTGACCAATCCAAATGCTTGTTGTTAAATTTTTCTATGAAGCATTATGGTCTATTTTCCTGTTTTCCAATCATTACAGCTGTAGGGAAGGCAAATGCGGAAGGTCTGGAAGAGGACAAATTTAGAGAGCTTCGATCATCGCAACAGCGTTAAATACAACTTATAAGGGACAAATATTCTCTCTTCTATCTTCTTCGGGGGTGTCCTTCTGCTAAGTCGCAGAACATATGGAAATCTGACGGGAGACTTGAGAAATGAGTTCATCTCCGTACAACTGGCAGTCAGAGAAAACTTCTGTGCAAGACGCGATTTCCTTCCTCTTTAACAACGAGGTCTTGAGCGATGTACACTTTATGGTAGGAAAAGGCACTCAAAGGCGTCGAATTCCCGCTCATAAGTTTGTACTCGCTGTAAGAAGTGCTGTCTTTGATGCTATGTTTAATGGTGGAATATCAACGCAGTCAGACGAAATAGAGGTGCCCGACGTTGAATATTTAGCTTTCCAATCATTACTTCGCTTTTTGTACACTGACGAGGTGCAAATTGGACCTGAAACGGTGATGACGACGCTTTATACCGCTAAGAAGTACGCTGTACCAACCCTGGAAAACGCTTGTGTGGATTTCTTGAAGAAGAACTTGAGCGCGGACAACGCGTTTATGTTACTGAGCCAAGCCAGGCTCTTTGATGAACCCCAGTTAGCGACCCTGTGTCTTGAATGCATCGACAAGCACACTGCTGAGGCGCTTGCAGCTGAGGGATTTACCGACATCGATTTTGACACATTTTGCGTGGTAATGCAAAGGGATACTTTGTCAATCCGCGAAAACCTACTGTTCGCTGCTGCGTTGCGATGGGCCGAACACGAGTGTCAAAGGAGGAGATTACCCAGCACTGCAGAAAATAAAAGGTCAGATTACTCAAAGGATAATTTCATTTAAAAAAGTTGTGATTTTTCGACGAACTGTTCCAAGCAACTCTGAAACTGGCTGTATATGTAGGTAGTGATCAACATCCAAGTAAGGGTGGGGTGGGGTGGGGTGGGTGTGGAATTTTTGATGGGTTCAGAGAGTACTCCAGATGTAATCTAAAGTCAGTGTTGTTTTCGGCTGTGAGTAAAACTGAAAATACTCACCTACAGCTTATTACAGTGGCAGAATAGAAAATTAAAACGTTTCTTGCATGCATTGCTTGCACAATGTGCAAGTACAGCTAGAAGTTCCTGCATTGCAGTCACCGTGGACAAATGACTGAAGCTGTGATCGGAAGTTGCTTAATAAATGAATGAAAAAATTATTTGTCTCTAACTATAATGTAGAATTTTTTCTTTTTGTAGATTCATTTGTTCTCTTTTTATAGTTTCTGGTTGTGTTTTAATTTATGAAATAGTTGACTGAAGGCCAATGAAGCAGGCCAATTTATTGTTAATTTTTAATTTGCTATGCATTGCAAGTGAACATCCAGAACATTATTAGTCATAAAACAATTGAATAACTGTAGGAAAGCTTGGGCAAGTAAGGATAGTTTATAACATGTAACTCTCTGAGTGATATTTGAAAAGTCCTTCAAATTGCGCTCACCTAAAGACTCATGCAATTTTCAGGTAATTTTCAAATATCACTCGTAGTATAATTCCTTAATTGCAAAGTTCACATTCATACAATTACCTAATAGTATACAAATTAGTGAAGAGTTGCCAGGGACACTAATGACACTATTATGATGATTTTGGTCATCAAAAACATGCAAAAAGTGGTCGATGTCTACATTTTGGTCCAGATTCAAGGTCAGTTATCTCTGAAGAATTTCATGGCTGCCCTTAGGTTTCCTCTTGGATTTCAATAGCCCTTACTGAGTTCTTCTCTTTCTACAGTGTACATGGCCCTACAGGCAGACCTTTTTAGTAAGCATTGTCCTGTAAAGATAACTTTTCTGCTTCTATATTATAATACTGTTGTGATTTTCTTGCAGAAATGTTCTTGCAAGAGCCTTGTACATGATTCGTTTCCCCCTTATGAGCCTTGAAGAATTTGCGGCTAGTGCTGCCCAGTCTGGAATCTTAACAGACAAGGAAGTTGTCAGCTTATTCCTTCATTTCACAGTGAACCCTAAACCTCAGGTTCAGTTTCTTGACAGGCCACGTTGCTGTTTGACTGGCAAGGAGAAGGCAGTATGTCGTTTTCAAAAAGTTGAGAGTCGCTGGGGCTACAGTGGCACAAGTGACCGGATACGTTTTAACTGTAACAAGAGAATCTTTGTGGTGGGCTTTGGCTTGTATGGGTCTATGTATGGTCCAAGCGACTACCAAGTTACTATTCAGGTCATTCAAACTGAGACAGACAAGATCTGTGGTCATAATGAAACTGCATTCAGCAGTGATGGCAGTGACAATACTTTTCGTGTTATGTTTAAAGAGCCAATCGAGATTCTCCCTGGGGTAGGTTACACTGCTAGTGCAACTCTCAAGGGACCTGATTCACACTATGGTACTTCAGGAGGAAAGAAAGTTGTCTTTGAAACAGAGCAGAAGGAGAAGTTAACTTTCCAGTTCTCAAATGCCACAGGAAATAATAATGGAACCTCTGTGGAGGATGGGCAGCTTCCTGAATTAATATTTTACACATGATAGAAGAACAAGAAACTGTATAGGCATCATTGTATGCGCATTGCAGGTTACCTGTACCTGTATGTTATTTTTGTAAGTAGCTGTGATTCTACAGACATTGTTAGTAATGATTTTGCAACAAGATAGCAGAGCCATGTGCATATTCCTGACAGTGAACTAGGATTTTGGAGACCCCTATACCTGTAGTTTTCTCTTTTTTTACCCTATCACAGCTTTTTGTTGATTCCTGTCTTTATTTGAATGTTCTGTGGCTCATAGACTCACTATAAAAGATGCTGGAGAAACAGAAAAAAGTATTGAAAACTTTGGCTCTTGAACTGACACTTGTGACTTCTACTTGTGGTCATCCTGGTTCATGTAATGTGTTGAGCAAATATAAATATTGTAATGCTTTAATAATTACGCCAGATAAAGATAGATTTACATTAGATAACAGAAGGAAGTAATGTATTAAAGATTCTGTAAGGTTGACTGACTTATCCCAATAGGCGGGACATCTAATAAGAAATATACTGACAGTCAAACAAAGTAACAGATTGGTAGCTATAAATGTGGTGAGGATCTAGGTATGGATAACATAGAAATATGTGTATGCCAGGGGGTTGGGAGGAGGGGGTGAGTTAGGCGGGATGTAACGGACTTCATATGATGGCATTTGAGTGATGAGTGTTGCATCCTGCATTGGATGGGACATACAAATGGAAACATGAAATGTCTAGATAGAGAATTGAAAACAGCTTTGTTTGTTTTGTTTTGATCATCCTTATGAGCTTATCAATCTGCACATGTTTTTTGCCATGTTGCTTCCTGAACCTTAAAAGATAATGAGTGGCAAAGAAACTTTACTGTTGAAAATTAGCAGCAAGTAGTTGTATTAAAAAGCATATAGGCAGATTTTCAGTTGTGAGATATTGACTTGTCTACTTGGAAAAGTATGTAGATGTTCAATCGGGGGTTAAAATAACAAAAAAGTACTGCATTTCTTTGGTAAGTGTTAGAGGGAATCTGCTACTTCATGTACAAAGCAGATGCTTTTGTAGCTACATATATTGTTATTAAAACAAATTGTTGTTTCAAAGGAAATTGACATGATGTCATTAATTCTGTTTCTTACATTTATATTAAGTCGTCCTTCCCTTTACAAATTAGCTTCTTGTGCTTGTGCTCTTTGGACTTTTGCAGTCAGTTGAAAATTGTGTGACAACCAAGCCTAAAGAGCATCTGTGCAGGAGGGTGGGTCATTAATAAGGGACGATATTTTATTGCAAGTTTCTTTGGTAGTTTGGACATGTAAATACTATTAGGTAATACAACTGTAGAGGAAATAGAAATAAACACTTTTTTTGTTGTTTGGTCATATTTGTTTTCCTCTATTTGGTTTTTGGTTTATAAAACTAGATGCAAAAGCCTAAACCTCATTTAAACTTGTGGATCATTTTCTATGATATGAAAACATAGCTCTGACACATCTACTCAACATTGGAGGATTCAATAGCATAGGCTCAATAATATTGTTTTGTGAACAAAGTACAAGATTAAAACAGATGGAAACATTTTTTACCATAATTATTTTGGACCACTCTAGTCCCCAGAGCCACTTGTCACTTTCAGACGCCAGGGCCTTGGGACAAGGAAATGGTGACTCCAGAGATGCACGATATGATTAGCTAGATTCCTGGACTAAGATTTCACTAAAACATCCACTTGTAAATCGTTAGCCAAAACCGTTCGATTAGAGAACCTACAGATCTTGCAGATTTTAACAAGGAAACTAAAATTCTGCCCGTCTTGAAGGTCTGTAAGTGCTAAAATCGAACGGTTCATTGGCTCAAAGATCTACCAGTGGATGTTTTCAGTCGCCGACACATACTTGA